TTGTTACTAGTAGCGATGCACTTGTTCCTAGTAGCTTCTTGTTTCTAGTAGCTTCGCGCTACGTTCATAGCGTCCTTGCTCCTAGTAGCGATGCCCTTGCTGCTAGTAGCTTCTTGCTCCTATTTGAAGGCACTCACATGCTCATTAACAATGCTATCGGTATTTTTTTAAGTGCCCTGCTTTCGGAACTGCATAAATATCTTCAAGACGTTTGGGTTCCACGTTCGCTGCTATTACTGCATTTTGGGCCTCAGTCAATAATATTGAGTGCAATGGCACTGGTACTTGCAGCACTCTTCAACATATCGTCAACATCCACGGGTTTTTAAAACACTTTGCACACGCCGTGTTGGCAGCACTTTGGACATTACAGGTTATTCTGCTTACACGGCCACAGCCGCTCCTGTTCCTTTGGATGCCCTCCTATTGCCAACTCTTGCTGCTACGCACAGCTATGTGTACAAGTAATATGCGGTCAAAGAGTAAAGAAAAACTGTCAACTTCTGCTGCTACGCAGAAGTTGGAAAACAGCACTTTGAACAAGTCAATCAAAAACTTGAGTTGGGTAGGTAGGATTCCGTAGGATGCCTTCAGATAGTTGCTAAAGACGGTGGGCAGACCTTCAAAGTGCAGATGTCGTGAGGTTTGTGGCGTTCAGTGCCTCCCTCTGAGCTGAGATTGACGGCTTTAGATGAAAGGCAAAGCACTTATGGGCAAAACAACATGTCGAGTGGCAAAAAGCCAACTTACAAAAAGCAAAACATGAACAACAGTGTTCATGTGTCAGGAATTTAAACCCAAAATGAAAAAATGCTATTGGTGTGTCAAATAAAAACAGGGTTACGAACACCGGGATGCCTTTGTCCCAGAGTTCATTGGGGTTGCGTGGTGTGCTCTTCATGTCGTCCCAATGTCTTCGAGCAGCCACCTGTTGAGTCATACAGCCCGCACAGTAAAAATACCATCCGTGGCGTTTGGGGTGTTTGGTGAAATACAGACGCTACTAGGGGCTCCTGACCTTACTACTAGGAGCAAGGACGCTACTAGGGGCTCCTGGCATCGCTACTAGGAACAAGAGTGCTACTAGTAACAAGAAGCTATTGATGTCCTAAATATACATGTTCCGTTGGAATCATTTTCCGTTGGAATCGCCGCTCAAAAAACCAAGCCGCAATCGACGTTTGTTCAACGTCCTTGGAGCCTAATGTGAGCCCATTCCTCAAAGGAGTGCATAACCATATCACCTCAGTTCCGCACAGAAATCATCGAGATTGAAATCAGAAGATTGAAATGCTTGCCAACAAGTAATAATGGCCCGCAACCTACTAGCTTCTAGCCTTCGGTTCGGCACGGCTCCAAATTCACAGTCCCACCCAAAGGGGACATGCAAAACCGCCAACGGCGCGCTTTGTTCGTCCCATGGTGCCATGAGGGCTCACTCGTACCGTCGTACCGTGTGCTTTGTGGGTTTTGACGTCAAAACACCGTTTCCTACAGCTCGGCTGACGGAGTTTTGCTTTAAAAAAAGGACCGGCTAAACAAATCTACATGGAGGCGACAAATCGACACGGACACAAAGCTTGGCAAATTGAGGCCTGGGAGTACCAACGTCTGATTCGTGTAAAAACAGGTGCAAAACGCATATGTCCACGTGGTTTCTGGCTGTGGTTAGTGGCAAGGCCTAGGACCACGAATTGGTTGGATAGCGGTCGCCTAGAAAGGATACCGGGCCGCATGGCACGAGGAGTATTGCAGATCCGCAGGCGATCCGGTCTTCAACGGAAAACGTGAGGATGGTTGAGGCAGTTTACACAGACCTGAGAAAGAGGGTTTCTGGGTTTTTTTAAAAACACTTTTCATCTTCGCCACATATTGGGTGCCTTCTCTTGACATTAAGGGCTGTGAGCTATCCTTGAGGCACAATTTCGACCGCCTTTCGTCTTTTCGCTTGGTTCTGGTGCTTAGGTTTGTGGCACTGCACGGGGCACGCCTTGGGTGTGTTCTACACACCGGACTCCACACGGAAGCCGAACCGCAGCGGTTTTGAGCAGAGTCGAGTCACTTGTTCCTAGTAGCTTCTTGTTACTAGTAAGGCACTTGTTACTACTAGCGTGGCACTTGTTCCTAGTAGCTTCTTGTTCCTAGTAGCGTGGCACTTGTTACCAGTAGCTTCTTGTTACTACTAGTAAGGCACCTTGTTTCTAGTAGCGAGGCACTTGTTCCTAGTAGCTTCCTAGTCAGACTAGCGGTGTTTGTTCAACGATGGAACACGGCTACTTATGACTATGACAATATGCCATGCTTGTTTGGGCCCTGACTGTTGGCCCGCCCACTGCCCCGCTCACCAATAATGGCGTGTCCGGAAGCGTTTGCCTGCAGTCTGTGGATATGAAAACAAAAATCACTGTTTGAATCCAATCGAATGCTCGTTTGAGCAGTTTTCTCTGGATCCTTCTTGCTAATCTCTGGCCTTAAGCTTGACATGCCAGCATCTGCTTCACAGGAGGCAATTGCAAAAGCTGATTTTTTCCATGAGCTATCAGTAGTGTAGGCTTTGGACCAAAAGGGTTTGGTCCGGATGGGGTCCAATTCGGATCGGAAAGAACGCATTTTTTCCGTGACTGCATGGGCCTTAGAGACTCTCAGCGATCTGGAGCCGAAAACTCGCCAATTCAGCCCGCTTCTTTCGGAGTCTGATTGTTCCCTGTGTTCTTTGTGTTCTTTTTAATGACCATTATGTTGTTTCTTATCTTCTTTAAGGGGGAGTAGGCCGCTAGTAGAAGCTAGGTAGCTACTAGCTACTAGTAAGCTACTAGCTACTGGATGCAGGATAGCTCATGCACAATTCGTTTTGGCTCCTAGATGTTTAGGAAACGGGTTCCTTAACTGTTTCACTCGAAAATTCGCCCGCCAATTCGCTTCTTCGTTCGATGTTCAGACTGTGTTGAGGCTGCTTAGATAGCTGCATTCATTTGTTGCGCTACTAGTAGCTATTTGCTACTATAGCAATGCATAGTAATGCCCTTGTTACTGGTAGCGATGCCCTTGTTACTACTATGCGACGCTACGAACGGGGCGCCCGAGATCCACGAACTTCGGAAGGACATCGTGGACCCTGTGCAGGTGAAGGCGATCCTGGTCTGTGCAAACGACTAACTGCCCCACATCCACATCATTCCACATCCATCGGTAAGAGGAAGATACTATAGGAACAAGGGGGCATCGCTACGAAGAACGGAGCGATCGGACGCTACGAACAGGGCTCCTGGCCTTACTACAAGGAGCAAGAAGCTAATAGGAACAAAGGGCAAGGCACAAACGGAGGAGCATGGGCCACGTCAGCTTTGGAAATTGCCGGAGTTATTCGCAGAGTGGCGGCTGGGAGGCTGGTGAGAGTCAGGCTTGAGGCCATTGCTTGTAGGTTGGAGGCCAGCGCTAGTAGGCTGGAGGCCATTGCAGCTAAAGTCTATGGATGTGATGGAGCCATGCAGAAAATGGATCAGATGGACATCGCGACCTCGTTTAGTCGGAGTTCAAACCAGCTATTGAGTCACGAGACGCTATGCGGGGGCAACAAAAACAAAAGAAATCGTATGTCGTAATGTTTTTTTGGGGGGCAGGCCAGCGCACGAAAGGGGAAGAAGAGGTAACTACAAGTAGCCGGGTAGCTAGTTTAGCTAGCGACAGGGAGCTACTACATGAGACGCGAAAAATGGGCCGCGGGCGGCGCGGGGAACTTAATTGAAGAACCCTTCGCATAAAGTTCCTTCGATTGATTTGATTCAGGAAAGACTTGGAGTTTGCAAGCTCCAAGTTTGGCCTTTCTTTTCTGACAGCCTACTCACCCATCCTGCCGCCCTGGTAACTTTGTAGCAGCCTACCCACCCAAAGAAAGGAACACATTGTGACAGAAACCGATAACATTTAAGTTAAAGAAATAAACATAGATCGAAAATGACACAAAGTCACACACAAAAGGGTGCCAGGTTTTCGGATGGTTCATGGTTTCGAAACCGATGGCGCCACGCTGGCGTCATGCTTTGACTTGCCTAGGCGTCGTGAAACGTTATCCGGAATCGCAAAAACACCTTGGAATACATTTTTTCAGACATGTTCTTTTTTTCATAGAAACAAGAAGCTACTAGGAACAAGTGCCACGCTAGTAGTAACAAGTGCCTTACTAGTAGTAACAAGAAGCTACTAGGAACAAGTGTCTTCTGATGTTTTCTCAAAACGTCATACGAGTCATGCGATTGTGCGACTCCTCGGGTCCTAAGTCGAAAGACTCTATGCGGCTGCTCGGTGGACTGCTTTGCAGCCACGTTCGCGAGTTGCGTTGAATTCCTTTTTGTAAAAAAAAACGAGAAAAGAAAAGAAAGCGAAGCAGGGATGAACTGCCGGCTACTCGTCTTCGAAGTCCTCTTGGTACACCTTGCGACATCCGACGCCAACCTTTGCGCTATCTAGCAAGGACGCTACTAGCAGCTCCTGGCCTTACTAGGAACAAACAGCTACTATAGTAACAAGGACGCTATTAGGCTGGAGGCCATTGCTAGTAACAAGACATTGCCAACCCCGTCATCGCAAAATGAGGAACAACGACAGGGGCCAAACCTTGCTCGGAGACTCCTGCCAGGAGTATTTGCCAATTTCAAGCTGGCCATGCTGAAACTGAAGTACACCTTTTGGCACATGTGATTAAATAGGAGCAAGAAGCTACTAGGGGCTCCTGGCCCTACTACTAGGAACAAGAAGCTACTAGGGGCTCCTGCTCCTGGCATCGCTACTAGGAGCGATCGGACGCTACTATGATTCTTTCCTCCCAAAAACAAGCATCATGTAGCGCTCCTCAAGACCTATGTCGGTTGGAGTCACCATAGCACCTGAGAAGCTCAAAAAAGAAAGAGTACCCCAACGGCCTCGATGTCTTCACGCTCAAATGAACGGCCTCGAGCATGGGTGTCTGGCCTGTCGTGGGACGTCATGAAGTCGACTCCGAAAAAGCACCCGCCAAGTACGTCCCTAGTAGCGTCCTTGTTCCGTTCGTAGCGATGCCAGGAGCCCCGTTCGTAGCGTCCTTGTTACTACTAGTAAGGCACTTGTTACTAGTAGCGATGCACTGGTTCCTAGTAGCTTCTTGTTCCTAATGCATTTTAAAGTAAAAGAAACATCACAAACGTGTTCCAAATTGTTGCCAGGCGGACGGGGGAGCCTGAAGCGGCTCCAACACAGCCAAAATCATGAAGCTTGGAGGCCATCGCTTTTAGATTCAGAATTGAATAGTGAATATGGGTGCTTCTTGTTACTATAGTAGTAAGGCCAGGAGCTACTAGTAGCGTCCTTGCTCCTAGTAGCGATGCCAGGAGCCCCTAGTAGCGTTCTTGTTACTGCAAGCTTTGGAGGGAGGATACCAGCATCTACCTACTAAGGAATTCCCAGTCCCAGCTCCTCAGCCCCGTGCGAATTCCTCCTCATGCGAATCTTTGGCCACACGGAAAGTCACTGGCCTTGATCAAACATCGATAGCCAGCTAGCTGCTTGCAGCTTAAGTAGCTTAAGCAGCTTGAAAAGAACTCTTCCAAAATTAGGTATGCAGAGAATTCGCAACTGTTTGTTCTAACCGTCAGTCTTCGTCACTTTCTCCAAGCTATTGGCAACCCTTGCTCTGCTCGCTGCACCGCCTGTGACGAATGTCCGCGATCGTCCGCGCAGCGAACGAATACCGAAGCGGCTCCCTACGTCCATGCCGAACTCGGAACAAGAGGACGCTACTAGGAGCAAAGGACATCACTACTAGGAGCAAGGACGCTACTAGGGGCTCCTGGCCGTACTACTAGGAACAAGGTTCGCTAGTACTAACAAGTGCATCGCTAGTAGTAACAAGTGCCTTACTAGTAGGAGCAAGTGCATCGCGTCGTCGAACGGTCGTCTTCCACGCCTTTTCCGCCTCGGCGAGCTTGCGTCTCGCCTCTCCGAGATCTTGCCTGACCGAGGTCGCTTTCGCTTGGCTTCGCTTTCGCTCACCGTTCCTAGCGATGCCTTACAGGTGTGACCAGTTGTGAGTCCGTTCTTTTAGTAGTTCTTGAAGTTTAGAAAAGTACAGAAATCACAACTGGTCGAACCCTCGCCTGAGCTTCAAGCCTCAAGAAGTGGATAAAGAAGGAAAGAAAGAAAGGAGCACATTTCACACTCACACCGAGCAGCTCTCGTCCAAGAGTTTCTTGTTTTGCTCCGTTAAGTTCTCAATGATGCGTTCGCAATCATCGACCTCCAAAAAAGAGCTCAAAGGACAACAAAAACCATCAGAAATGGTCAGAAACCGTTTAAAAAAATGGAAAAGTCAGAGGAACGAGAAAAGAATTGAATTCATCATGAAAAAAAGTCCTGCCTTTTCTTCATACATCTCAGTCCTTTCGTTGAGCTGATCAGTTAGATAGACATAACCTGGGGCGAACATGACATGGCCAAGTTAGTTCTAAAGCGCCTTACATCCAGCGCCTTCATTGGTGTTTGTCAGGTCCTCTTCCTTCCCAACTTCGGAATGTTTCGAAATTGACAGAGATTAAGCAACTGATACGTTTTCAGCATGTGAAGAATGCAAACGTGTTGTTCTCAAACCTTGGCTGCCAAGGTGTCAAAGAGCTCGACTTCTTGCGCACGGGCCTTGTCTTCCGTGCAAAACACAATCTGCCGGTGTCCCTTTTGCATCTTTTGAAGCCTAATAGCGATGGCCTCCAACCTAATAGCTTCTAGCTACTAGTAGCTTCTTGTTACTAGTAGATCTAGTAGTACGGCCAGGAGCTTCGTAGCGATAACCTTGTTACTAATAGCAATGGCCTCCAACCTAGTAAATATTCTTTCCGACGCTATCTATCTGAGTCGAAGACAATATCTCGCTCTTCCGTCAAAACACCCATCTGCTGCTGTAGGTCCTAAACGGACAAAACACCAACGCTCTGAAGCAAACAGAAGCAGAAACACTGCGTGTGACTTCTCGGCCTTTGCACTGAGTGTTCCCAACAAGAAAAGAAACAAGTGTTTCATATAATTAGAACAAAACATGATAATCAACCGTAATTGTAAAAAAGAAAACAAGAACCTGGGCCCCTTCAACAAGGTGCCCTTCAGAGGGGCCTTACTCATTTCTGGTGCATCTCCGATGGTCGTCAGTGACTGAATGGCATTCCGACAGCCAATGTATGCCAGGACCCCTAGTAGCTTCTTGTTACTACTAGTAAGGCACCTGTTACTACTAGCGTGGCACTTGTTTCTACTAGCTTCTTGTTACTACTAGTAAGGCACTTGTTACTAGAAGCGATGCACTTGTTACTAGTAGCGATGCCAGGAGCCCCTAGTAGCGTCCCTGCTCCTAGTAGTAACGCCAGGAGCCCCTAGTAGCGTTCTTGCTCCGTTCGTAGCGATGAAATGTGTCGGTATGCAGCGCATCAATGGCGATCTTATATCTCCACCCAAGGTGGAGGTCCGCGGCAGCCAGACAGTCACCCAGCCCCAAGCGGATCACAGCGTTGGGCGTTGGGCTTTAGGACACTCAACGTGTTCAGCAAACCAGAGTGGGATCAGAGCTGCTCTGATCATCGAGATGGCCCTTCTGTGGTTTGGCAAAGCGCTCTCCCTTTTTTGAAGACGTCAGGGCGTCAGGACGTGAGGCCGACGCCAACCACCTTTTGGCTGGTGAGAGGGTGAGGCCGAGGCCGGGTGAGGGTTGTACTGCTCCAACCACAGGTTCGTGGCTCTCGGAAAGAGAACTGCTAGGAACAGGGACGCTACGTTCGAAGCTCCTGGCCTCACTACTAGGAACAATGTTAGCTATTAGTAACAAGTTTTCGGAACGCAAGAGTTTGCGATGTGTTTTATCGGCTGAAGAGAGCGCTCCGCGCACGAACGCGGAGGCATGCGGCAAGGGATGCAGAACACAAGCATGCCGCCTGTGGACTTCGTCACCGGTGACACAGTTGGACTTCGTCGCGTCTCTTTGTCTCCTCGTTCAGAGCCTTGAGTTCGTCAAACTTCGAGTCCCCCTCCTTGACCTGGCGACAGCTTGACAGTCTCAAACAACAGAAAGGAAGTGTCAATGTGTCTTTTTGTGTTAGACATCTGTGCTTTTGTCCTTTCTTTGGAGCCTTCTTTAATTCATGGAGCCTTCTTTAATTCATTATCGTCTCTGTGTCCGTTCTCGGAGCTTATTGTGACACACACAAAGCTTGAGGTTGCTGGACCTTCTCCTGCTCTTGAAGAACTTCATCCGCTGTTTGGGCCAACTTCTCCTGCAATCAACCCCTTGTCACTTCTGAAACTATCCTTCTCTTCTCCGCTTGAGCTTTTCTCAATGACTGCTAGGTTGGAGGCCATCACTCCATCCCTACTAGGATGTAGGCCATATGAGTGCTCTCCTGTTCTGCTCCGTTCTGCTCTGCAAAACACACTCCGCTACGCTCTGCGTAAAGCGCCTCCAATGCTTCGATTTGGGCTCTGGAACTGTCGAGCTCCTCAGCTCCGCTCTGTTGGGCTTCCGGCTTCCGTGAGCGAACTTGCAAGCTTTGGAGCAGTGGAACAAACCAGGAAAATCTTGTTCCTAATAGCTTTTTGTTACTACTAGTAAGGCACCTGTTACTACTAGCGTGGCACTTGTTCCTAGGAAAATCTTGTAGATATGAAAACAAAATCACATCTATGAGTCGGTCTATGTATTGTTACCCCTCAGCGTGCGACAGAAACACAGTCAAGGGCAGGTTGTGCCCGGCAAGACCCGGGCGCCGGGTAGGGTGCGTCACGCGCGTCTGACGCACGGCAAGCACTTTCACTCCGACGTCAGTACAAAGTGGAAGAATGAAGGGCACTTCTTCGTGCACGCAGCCCCTAAATTCCAAACGTTGGTATTGGGGGTGGAATACCAATCAAAACTGTTAAGTTGTTTTGGAGCGACAAGTGGCCAAGAGAAATTTCTAGAAAAAGACCAAAAAGCAATGCTTTCGAGGAGAAGTTAACCGCAAAGTAGCGAAACTAGCCACGGCTAGCGATCTCTGAAAGCCCAGAGGCAAAGCAACCAAAAGTTCACCGTTGTAGAGAAGAGTGGCCAGAAATTTGCGGAGAAAAACATATGTAGGGGCTGTCCAGGCACAATCAAGTAACCAACAGTAGAGTCAGCAGAGAAGGGTAGCCAAGGGTACAGCTTTCAAGTGAACAGTCTAGCGATATTTAGCGAAAACAAAAGTAGTGATCTCCTGATTTAAAAGTACAGTAGAGCCAGGGCTTCCTAGAGAAAAGGAATTAAAACTGGAGCCTTTTAGAGGAGCGGAGCTCTAAAGGGAACTAGCAATAGAGCTTACCTTTTTAGCGAAGATTCCCTTCACATCATTAGCGAAGCTGTTATCCTTCACGCTGTGAAAGCCGCATGACATTTCGCTGTCAGCAGCTGGGCCCACTGCCGTCGTCCAAACAGCTCACTGCCGAGTCCGCACACGCACACGGGACTCACGGGACTCACGAGTCGGTACCGTTCAGCGCTCAAGGCCATCGAACGGGTGAACGGTGGGTGATCCTTTCGGGCTCCGATCGCCGTGGGGGCGAAGGAGCAAGGAGTAGTAACAAGTGCATCGCTACTAGTAACAAGTGCCTTACTAGTAGTAACAATGTTTGCTAGTAGAAACAAGAATTAAATAGAAACAAGGAGCTTCTTAGAATTGAAATTAGTAGCTTCTTGAGGCTTCTTGTTCCTAGTAGTAAGGCCCTTCGCTCCTAGTAGCGATGCACTTGTTCCTAGTAGCTTATTGTTTCTGTGCCAATGCTGTCGACAAGATCGCCGGCCACACAGAACACTCCCGCAGTGGCGGGCATGAAGTGGCAGGCTAGTTGGCGTGCAACAGATTTATCACGTGCCTAGTTGGCGCATACAAGGCTTAGCCGTCTCAAGCCATCTCAAGCGACAGCGTTGTCAGCTTTGACCGTCCAAGAGCGTGTTTGGCGAGATGATCTCACAAGGCGGCATGGAGGGCTTCAATCTGCCCATACCACTTGGCTCTTCACACACGCACCTTTGCTTGAGATGGCCTTCAGAAATTTTGAGTGGCTCCGGCTGACGACAGCTTCAACGACAAGTGACCTGCATCAATTTTGCTTAGCGCGTGGTGATCCCATGGAAGCGACTACCTCTGCCTTGCATTCTCACCTTGAGAAACATCATGTTGAAATCTGGGCTGGACGCTTGGACAGGCGAGTGACACCACTTGGCCGGCCGGTTTCTCTACGACGCCTTTGTCTGTTCACAAGGCGGTTCTGTGCCACGCAGGTCAAGACCAAGCGTCCTTGCTCCTAGTAGGGATCCCAGGAGCCCCTAGTAGTTTTTTCCCAAAAGCATCTCCGATGCTTGGGTTCTCGTTTAGTCGCTAGTGCCGCGTAGTGCTGCTCCATGCTTCGCGGAAGCCCGTTGGGAGGTGAGTGGAGCTGTGTTGCGGGGCTGATACGATGGTGTTGGGTGTCGGCGCCAGACAGTCAAGTCATGGCCGACCCGGCAGGATTGTTGCGTGCCAAAAGCGCAATGCGTGAAATTGGATGGTTGGAACGAAGCATGGAGGGGGCTGATGCTGCTCCATGCTTCCTGGACCGGTTGTCAGAAGCCATGTTGCAATGGGGTTGGAGACTAGCTGCAGAGATTGAAAACAGCCACTTGATATATATATATATAATACATCCAACCTCCAACCCGACTAAAAAGGGAACCGTCTTGTTTTCTTCTTACTGCAACGATATTTCTATCTAGGGTCTATGCCAGTGTAAAAACACAAAAGACCGAAGCCCACAAAGGTTTGTTCGAGAAAAGCAAACGACAAATCCTCTCCTCCTGGGATACCTCCGCCATATCGACGCCCTGATCATGCCAACGATGCACGCCACCGGAAATCTATGCCAAAACATAGGAGAGAGACATGGGGTGAAACCACCACCCCTAATCCACTAGCAAAGCACCCTGGTCGATGCATCTGGCACGCCAGGGGAAGCAGTCCATGAAGCAGTAAGAGCATCTCTGCAGGCAAGATTCGCATTCGTTGTGTCACCAAGCACTGTAAGAATTTAGTTTCACATGACATGCAAGTCATAGGAATCTTGATGAATGTAGCCTTCATGATCCAGTCATTGACGTTTCACTTCACCGGACATGTTTGGCTCAAGATTGTGGGAAAAAGGGGCGGCTGCTGTGTTCTTTTGGTTATCAGCCGTATCGCTTTGCGATCGGTTGTTGGCCGTCGTTGCAGCCATCGCATCTTCATCTGGTTCACGTCGACCGACTGAACCCGCTGGTCCACCCCCGCCTGAAGGGGGCTATTCTGACCCGGAGCATCCCGAGTACGAGGAGCTCCACAAGCTTCTGAGGTTCCCTCGCTCTGGAAAGAGCGGCCGAGCACAGAAGAGGGCGTTCATTCGCCAGGGCGTGGCTGAAGGGCATTTTGCGTTGACACATCCGCATTTGCTGAACGGTGTTACGTCTTTCAACTTCTGCGCGCAGAGTCGGGTGACGATTGTTGAGGAGGTTCTTCAAACGTACAGAGCTCGATTCGAGGAGGCGTATAGGTTAGCTGCTTCGGCACTGCCACCTAGGCCTGAGCCCGCTGTTTCGGTACCACCTGCAGTGATTGGTCTTACGCCAAAGGCATTTGCTAAGGCACAGCCGAGGAGGCCAGAGCCAGTTCAAGTCTCGATTGTTCTGCCGGACACGGTACATTTCCTTACCTTTGAGGCAGCGGAGGGTCGCTATACTCGTTGGGAGTCACAGGAAGTGCATTTGGGAGCAGTTGCAGACATTGGCCAGGTTAAGGTCCTTTTTGTTGATCACCATCAGGTTCTTGACAGGGATCGCAGCGATACTTGCAGACAGACAGGTCGCGTGGGAGTCGAGAACATTGAGGCGATTGAGAAGTTCAGACAGTTTGCGTTGGATCACGAGCGTATTCCATTTGTTTTCGTTCTTTCTTTCATTGGGAGTTCGGGGCGCTACGACGCGTGCAAAGACATTTGGAGCAACAGCGAACGGATTCATCACTTGTTTGACGGGATCATTTGTACGTTCGAGCCGGAGGGTCCGACAGGGAAGGCTGCAGTTATCTCGAGATTTGCCGAACGGTTGGGAGATCACTTGTCTTGTTGTTTGATCGACGACAACGCTGATATCCTATCTGAGTTGGAAGCCACTTTGGCCACCGACAGGGCAACAGGGATTCACATTAAGCTTTCACGGAAGAGGAGCTTGGACAGTGGGTCAGCGCATCCATACGGCAATTGGTTGAGCGACGGCTGGACGAAGGAGGCAGTTGAGAATTTCATTGCATCCGAGTAGACGTCGTTTGATCTTTGGAAAAGAAGCGATGGAGGGATCAGTAGGAAGTGCGCATGGTTCACCGGAGAGTGAACAGATTGTCATGTTTGGGGAAGCCGTTGCAACTCCTATCCAAGATACGAGTTTGTCATCCCTGACAGAAACATCTCACTCATCGATGGTTCAAAGTAATCAAGGAAATCCAACAGCAAGGACGGATGTTGAATACCAGCAACCGACTATTGGTCAGATTGATGCAAGACAGATTGTGTTCGAAAGCAACCAGTCGTCTCATTTCACCGATGCCAGATCAGTCAATCTCTTGGATTTGAACCCTCTGGTAGTAGCTCAGGCTCACCAGGTCGTGTCCGAAGTGCAGGGTCAAGCCATTCAATATGCCTCCGAGGTTGAAGCCAATGCTAGGGACCAGACTGCTCAGTATGTCCAAGCAATGGAGAGCCAGTTTAGGAACCAAGCCCTTCAGCAGATCCAGGGTATTGAATCGAATGCTCAAGCCCAAATCCAGAGTCAAGTTCAATCCATTGAAAACCAAGCCAGGTCTCAAATCCAGGCGGTAGAATCCACTGCCAGGAAGATGGTTCAGCAGTCTCAAGAAGAAGCCCATGAACTGGTCCGCCAAACCCAAGGTCAAGCTACCCGTTTGGTGAATCAGTCTCATCAAGAGGTTGCTATTTACCAAAACCAGATTGAGCAATTGAAGGCTTTAGTGATTGATCGCACGAACCAGGTGGTTGAAGTGACCGGTGCATTGAATCAAAGAGAGAAAGCATTGGAGTCCACCACTAGGCAGATGAATGAAATGAGGGGTCAAATGGAAGCAATGATGAGGAGGATCAAGGATCAAGATGAAAGGTTGCAGTCCCTTGCAAGGAGCGGAACTCCAGGGGATCCAAGCACCATCCATCCTTGCAGTCCGCCGCCAAAGGCAACCTCGTTAGTTGATAGGAATCCTAAAGGTGTTGGTCAGCCAAGTCCATCAATGAAGGTTCATGGAATGGGGGAATTGGTTCCAGTGGTGCATAGTATCGCAACTCCAAAGTCCTACCATCCTGGCACGGTCGTACCTCGGGGTCAACCAATGCAAGAGTCGTCGGTCGCGTTGCCTTCGTTTGCGTTGACGCCCATTGCCACAGGAACCAATGGTGAAGAGCTGCATTT